CCGCGCGTGCACCCCCCCTCGCCACAGCCAGAGTGCCAGCCTCTCCTCATGGCACTTCCGGCCCGCGTGGCCACCCCCCCTCGCCACAGCCAGAGTGCCAGCCTCTCCTCATGGCACTTCCGGCCCGCGTGGCACCCCCCCCCTCGCCACAGCCAGAGTGCCAGCCTCTCCTCATGGCACTTCCGGCCCGCGTGCACCCCCCCCCTCGCCACAGCCAGAGTGCAGCCTCTCCTTCATGGCACTTCCGGCCGTTGGCATCCCCCCCACGCCACATCAGAGGGCCGAATGAGGCTCCGTTTGGCAAACATTGGACTTGCGGTGCGGGGGGGGTGGGGGGGAGGGGGTAGGCAGACGGGGGGGACGGGGGGGACGGGGGACTGTGTTGGGTTGGCTTTTTTTTTTTTTTTTTTTGACAAGGGATAAAGTGCATTTCTTGGTGAAGTGTAGACTCATGGATTAGCATTATCATTCATGATTTTATTTTATTTCATTTATTATATTTTTTTATTATTATTATCATTTTTTTTATTATCACTCTTGCAAATCTCTAGCGGAATATGGGGGAAAAAAATGTCCACGTGACAACGACACTGTCACTTTCACCATCCTAACATTTCTCTCTTGCCAAAGGATCTCCTCGATTTCCTTCAGCTTCACCATCAACATCATTCCCCTCCCCACCCTCCCCCACCCCCCTCCCCTCCCCCCGACGTCGCGCTCTTACTATCAACATCTTCAGCGTCTCCCTGTCGCCGCCAACGCCACACCGTCAACATCCTCGCTTCACTACCATCCTTTTCACCATCGACTCGCCTCCATCCTCATTCCTTCAACATAACATTTTTTTTTTTTTTTTTTTTTTTTTTTTTTTTATCGCCGTCAACCTACCATAGCATCGCCTCACACCATTTGCACCACCTTTCCCCACCCACGCGACCCTGTGCACCACCAACATCCCATCCCTTCTCTCGCCATCACCATCGCCCTCTTCCCACCGGTGTGTCTGTCACCCCCCCCCCCCCTGATCCTCTCACCACCAACATGGCTGATCGCTTCAACATCACCTCTAATCACCGCCAGTATCATCCTCCCGAGCAGTGTCACTCTTGCCGTCACCACCACTCTGCCCCAACCCAGCTCCACCCTCCCTCACCCCACCCCCCCTCATATCCACCGCCCTCACCATCCTGTCTCCACCGCAGCCTCACCACCCTGTCTCCACCGCAGCCTCACCACCCCTCACACGACCCCCTTCCCTCATATCACCACCGCCAGCCTCATCCACCCTGTCTCCACCGCAGCCTCACACCCTGTCTCCACCGCAGCCTCACCACCCTGTCTCCACCGCAGCCTCACCACCCTGTCTCCACCGCAAGCCTCACCACCTCACCGCAGCCTCACCACCCTGTCTCCACCTGCAGCCTCCACCACCCTGATCTCCACGCCAGCCTCACCATCCTGCCTCCACCGCAGCCTCACCACCCCCTCACCACGACCCCTTCCCTCATATTCACCACCGCAGCCTCACCATCCTGTCTCCACCGCAGCCTCACCACCCTGTCTCCACCGCAGCCTCACCATCCTGTCTCCACCGCAGCCTCACCATCCTTCTCCACCGCAGCCCACCATCCTGTCTCCACCGCAGCTGTCTCCCTCATCCACCCTGTCTCCACCGCAGCCTCACCACCCTGCTCCCACCGCAGCCTCACCATCCTGTCTCCACCGCAGCCTGCCTCACGCAGCCTCACCACCCCTCACACGAACCCCTTCCCTCATATTCACCACCAGCCTCACCATCGTCTCCACCGCAGCCTCACCCACCCCCTCACCACGACCTTCCTCATATTCACCACCGCAGCCTCACCATCCTGTCTCCCACCGCAGCCTCACCACCCCCTCACACGACCCCTTCCCTCATATTCACCACCGCAGCCTCACCACCCTGTCTCCACCGCAGCCTCACCACCCCCTCACCACGACCCCTTCCCTCATATTCACCACCGCAGCCTCACCACGCTGTCTCCACCGCAGCCTCACCAATCCCCCCACGACCCTTTCCCTCAATTCACCACCGCAGCCCACCACCCTGTCTCCACCGCAGCACATCCACCCGCAGCCTCACACCCTGTCTCCACCGCAGCCTCACCCCCTGTCTCCAAGCCTCACCACCCTGTCTCCACCGCAGCCTCAGCACCCGCCCTCCACACCACCCCCTCCCTCATATTCACCACCTCAGCCTCACCACCCTGTCTCCACCGCAGCCTCACCACCCCCTCACCACGACCCCTTCCCTCATATTCAACCACCGCAGCCTCACCACCCTGTCTTCCACCGCAGCCTCACCATCCTGTCTCCACCGCAGCCTCACCAACCCTGTCTCCCACCGCAGCCTCAGCACCCCTCACCACCACCCCCTCCCTCATATTCACCACCCTCAGCCTCACCACCCTGTCTTCCACCGCAGCCTCACCAACCCCCTACCACCACCCTTCCCTCATAATTCACCACCGCAGCCTCACCACCCCCTCACCACCACCCCTTCCCTCATATTCACCACCGCAGCCTCACCACCCCTCACCACCACCCCTCCCTCTTCACCACCGCCAGCCTCACCACCCCTCACCACCACTCATATTCACCACCGCAGCCTCACCACCTGTCCCACCGCAGCCTCACCACCCCCTCCCTCATATTCACCACCGGCCTCACCATCCTGTCTCCACCGCAGCCTCACCACCAACTCAATAATTGGTCGTCTGCCCGTAAATGGGACAGTTAACAAACGCGTTGGCAACTGCGCCGCGCCTCGCCTCTCAATTGGTCATTTGAGTTGCCTTTGACCGGCTCCGATCGGGCGGCTCCCCACGGGCAATAAGGGCGGCTTTCTCGCCTCGCAGCTCGCCTCCTTGGCCTCTAGAGTGATGTGGGGATCGCGGCTCGGGATGGATCCTGATGTGTCTTGATGTAATCTGCTGTGATTATGATTTTGCTTCGAGGATCTGTGTCATCTGTGTGTGTGTGTGTGTGTGTGTGTGTGTGTGTGTGTGTGTGTGTGTGTTGTGTGTGTGTGTGAGTGTGTGTGTGTGTGTGTGTTGTGTGTGTGCGTGTGTGCTGTGTGTGTGTGGTGTGTGTTGTGGGTGTGTGTGTGTGTGTGTTGTGTGTGGTGTGTGTACGCTGTGTTTTTTTTTTTTTTGTTGTGCGTATATGTGTGAGTGTGAGTGCGTGGTATGTGTGTGCGTGTGTGTGCGTGTGCGTGCGTGTGTGTGTGGTATGTGTGAGTGCGTCCGTATGTGCAATGCGTATGTGTGTGTGTTGTGTGTTTATGGTACATATTTTCATATTTGTATGTGTCTACGTGTAACTAAACTATATCACATTAGTGAAATAGGTATACCAATGTTTTTACATATATATCCATTGTTATATTCCACATAATTTATTCATCTCTTCATATCTTCTTGTATTGCTTTCCTCCTTCAATAGCCATTTATTCCTTTAATACTTCCTTCTTCGTCGCCGACTTACACACACTTAATAGGCCCTTGGTAGCTATTTTTAGACCGCTGTGCAATAGGACACTCGATCACATATCTTCAAAAGACATCAACACATCTTGGTTGTCTGCTTTACAGCCTAAGATCACCGCATCTGTGTATGTATATATGTGTTTCTATGTGTCTGTTTTTTGTATGTATTTGTTTGTGTATGTTTTTGTATATGTGTATGTTTGTAGTATTTGTTGTGTATGTTTTTGTGTATTTGTATGTATTTGTTTGTGTATGTTTGTATGTATTTGTGTGGTGTGTGTGTTTTGTATGAGTTGGTATTTTGTGAATGCTTTTGTATATGTATTGTGTATGTGTTGTGTGTGATTGTATGTATGTGGTATGTGTGTATGTGTTTTTAAGTATGTAGGTGTGTGTATGTTTTTGCGTGTACATGTTTGAGTATTACGTAGGTGTGCGTATGTTTTGTATGTGTATGTGTGTATGTTCTTACGTTCGTCTGTGTACGAGCATATCTAAAATGTCTCAAAATGTCTTGATATGTTTTCGAATTGCTTCAAAAATGTATTAATATCTCAATATTAAATCAATATTAAATCAATATTAATATCTCAAAATTAAATATTAATATCTCAATATTAAATCAATACCTTATATCTACACTACTATAATCATATATAAATTAGTTAAAATTGATCTTAGACGATAAGTTCTTCTCGAGATATGAACCTCTGCGTCCATATTTTTCCGAAGATGAAAATTACCCAAGAATTCCAGGATGAAATTACCCGAGTGGTGAGCAGCAAAAAAAAAAAAAAAAAAAAAAAAAAAAAAAAAAAAAAAAAAAAAAAAAAAAAAAAGAAAAATGGACCGAATTTGAAAATAATGATAACGATCCCTTGGACATGGATCGAGGTAAACAAATATGGAAATAACGATAATAATAATAATAATAATAATAATAATAATAATAATAATAATAATAATAATAATAATAATAATAATAATAATAATAATAATGATAATAATAATAATAATAAAAAACTGATCCAAACAATGTTAGAATTAGATGAACAAAGTGAAATACAAGTCAAAAGAAAAGCATGAAAGGTACCCCAGGGAGCGATACCCGGATGTAAATCACGTAAGATATGAATAACCACATGAAAGATAATGGAATGAATATCCTCCAAAATATGAATATCAAACTAGAAACTAGAAATACTTACAGTGAGAATACCAGGTTGGTATTCCTCGAAGTAAAAATACCAGAGAAAGATAATTCGTAGAGATACCAAGATATGAATAAGGTAAATGATAATAATAAATAATAAGGTAAATAACTCAAGTGACAAAAGCTTCGATAAGAATGCCAGGGTAAAGCTTTCAGAAAACGGAATGTAAGAATATATAGAAAGAGAACGAAAAAAAATAAAAAGAAAAAATAAAAAAAAAGATTAAGAAAAAATGAAATAGAAAATAAAAAGAAAAGATTAAGAAAAAATGAAATAAAGAATAAAAGAAAATATTAAGAAAAAAATAATATAAAGAATTATATAGAAAAGATTAAAAAAAATGATAAAGAATAAAAAGAAAGATTAAGAAAAACATGAAATGAAGAATAAAAAGAAAAGATTTAAGAAAAAATTGAAATGAAAATAAAAAGAAGAAGATTAAGAAAAATATAGAATAAAAGAAAAATTAAGAAAAAAAATGAAAAATAAAGAATAATAAAGAAAAGATTAAGAAAAAAATGAAATAAAGGAATAAAAAGAAAAGATTAAGAAAAAATGAAATAAAGAATAAAAAGAAAAGATTAAGAAAAAAAATGAAATAAAGAATAAAAAGAAAAGATTAAGAAAAAATGAAATAAAGAATAAAAAGAAAAATAAGAAAAAAAAAAATGAAATAAAGAATAAAAAGAAAAGATTATAAAAAAATGAAAATAAAGATAAAAGAAAAGATAAGAAAAAATGAAATAAAGAATAAAAAGAAAGATTAAGAAAAAAATGAAATAAAGAAATAAAGAAAGATTAAAAAAAATGAAATAAAAGATAAAAAGAAGATTAAAGAATAAAAATAAAAGAAAAGATAAAAAAAAAAAAATAAAGAATAAAAAGAAAAGATAAGAAAAAATGAAAATAAAGAAAAAAAGAAAAAGATAAAAAAAAATGAATAAAAGAATAAAAAGAAAGATTAAGAAAAAAAGAAATAAAGAAAAAAGAAAAGAGAAAAAATGAAATAAAGAATAAAAAGAAAAGATTAAGAAAAAAATGAAATAAAATTAAAAAGAATAAGAAAAAAAAATGAATAAAGATAAAGAAAAGATTAAAAAAATAAATGAAATAAAGAATAAAAGAGAAAAAGATTAAGAAAAAAATGAAATAAAGAATAAAAAGAAAAGAAAAGATTAAGAAAAAAAAATGAAATAAAGAATAAAAGAAAGATTAAGAAAAAATGAATAAAGAATAAAAAAAAGATTAAGAAAAAATAAATAAAGAATAAAAGAAAAGATTAAGGAAAAAAATGAAATATGAAAAAGAAAAGTAAGAAAAAAGAAAAAAGAAATTAAAGAAAGATTAAGAAAAAAATGAAAAGAAATAAAAAGATTAAGATGATTAACGAAAATGAAAATAAAGAATAATAAGAAAAAGATTAAGAAAAAAAATTAAATAAAGAATAAAAAGAAAGATTAAGAAAAAATATGAATAAAGAATATAATAGAAAAGATAAGAAAAAAATGAAATAAAGAATAAATAAGAAAAAGTTAGAAAAAAAAGAATGAAATAAGAATAAAAAGAAGAAGAGTAAGAAAAACAATGAACTTAAAGAATAAAGTAGATAAAAGTATAGAAAAAAAAATGTAATTAATAGATTATAAATATAAGATAAAGATATTAGAAAAATATGATTAATAATAGTAATAAAAATAAATAGTATTAAGAAAAAAGGAAATGAAGTGTATAATAAGTAAAATGATATTTAAGATTAAATTAATTTGTAATAAATGTAAATAAAAAAAATATTAGTTATTAATATAAAAAATGAAAATAAGTGAATATAAAAGAATAGATTTATGAAAATAACAAAATAAATAAGAATTAATTAAGTAAATATTTAATGATAAAAATGAAATAAGACATAAAAGCAAATAAGTATTATTGAAAATATATAAGTATAAAATTTTAAAGAATTAAATAGATTAAGATTTAGTTGAAAAGAAAATAATGAATATGAAAGAATAAAAGATGTTAATTATAGTATTAATGATAAAATAATATAAGATAAAATATAAAAAGATTGAATAGTATTAATTGTATATAAATTATTAATAATATAGGAATAATAAAGAAATATTCAGAGAAAAATTGAATATTAAGAATATATTATAAGAGAAAAGTTATTAATAAAAAAATGAATTAAAGATATATATTAAAGAAAATGATTAAAGATAAATAATATTAATGAATTATAAAGATATAATTAAAAATGATAATTTAATGAAAAAATATTATTTAATAAATGTTTGATATATATAGAATTTAATGATGTTTTAAGTGAAAAAAATGAAATAAAAGAATATAAAGATAAAGTATTATGATGAAATAATTGTAATATAAAAGAATTAAAAATGAAAAGTATTGATGTATTAATTAAATGAAATAAAGAATTAAGAAAGAAATATTATAAGGAAAAATTTATAATTTGAATATTTAAAGATATAAAGAAAAGATTAAGAAAAATATGAATTAAGAATATAATAATGAAAAGATAATATGAATATAAAATATTGAATATAAAGAATAATTGAAAGTTATTATTGATTAAAAAAATTGATAATATAAGAATAATTAAAGAAAAATGATTATGATTATATATAAGAAATATAGAATATAAAAGAATGAGATTTAAGTAAAATAAAATGATAATATAAGAATAAAAAGAAAGATTATGAAAAAAATTGTTGATAATAATATAATATAAAAGAAAGAGT